TATACCACGGCGGAGAGAGCGCGAGCGGCTGGCGAGGGAGTAAGGGCGCCGCCCCTGAGTTTTCGGCGCCATCGCGACTCTGGGCGTGGCCGCGCAGACGCTCAAGAAAAATGCTTCCGACGCGAGCGAACTGCACGCTGTGTACGCTACAAGAGAGCGTCGGCCCCGGAAAAACCCGTGCCTTCCTCGTAGCGAAGCGCGAGGCGCACCAGTTTCCGAACTATTTTTCCAACGCCTATACGTCTTTTCGACGAGAATCGGCCAAGCCTTTAATTTCAGATGCTATGATAATTTAGGAAAGAGAGGGAGAGAGAGAGACAATGCGCCTGGATGCTACTGCACAGCGGGCATACCACGCAACACTCTCTTCCTGATTTTTCATTAGCAACGCGCGGCACACTATCCATCCCTTCTCGTTTCTCCCTTAACCACCCCACCCTGCCTCTTCTGCCTCGCGGCTGTCTTTGTTTTGCTTTGACTTTGTTATGCTTCCCCGCCAGCTTTTTTGTTTTTACGGGCCGCTCGCATTTCGGCGCTACCGTCGGTCGCTTGTTTATTTTTTTACTGTTTTATAAATTAAAGGTTGCTCGGTGCATGGTAAATCTTTGAGTTTTCAAATTTTTTTCCCTCTTTGCAGTCGCAGACCTGCATACGCAGACTACGTCGCGCGAGTCAAGGATCTCTCCACGATTGTATGTGCGCTATGATCCGCCGATGATTTCTTCATGTTTTGCACAAATGTAAGTCCGAATGGCATATGTAAACATGCTTCAATTTCATTGTTCTAATTAGCATAGCCCGCGCGTGCACGTAACTCTGCGACTGCTGGTAGCTTCTAACTATATCAGCGATCGCGATATCGTGTTTGTTTTGTTTTGGCAAATCTCGCCAAGCATGCCTCTGTTTGCTGTCCTACATTGATGATCATAATGATGTTTGTTTTTTGTTTTTACAAGCTCATCATGTTCGCTTCGTCGATGTACCATTCCAAAAGTCAGTACTTGCTAAGTTAATCTGAATTAACCAACATCAAGTATCCCGATAAACTTGAAACTTCGATTAGATTGAAGCTTACGAAATATTATTGACATTTCAACGTTTGCTATTTCTCGTATAATTAATTAGTACTCACAAGTAGACGGGATTTGGCTTCTATCGATTGCACCAACAGTTCGAGAGATGAAACAAAATTCATCGAGTACTCCAGCTAGTCTCGTTAAGAAATTGGAAAAACGTACCGATGAAACCTCCTTTTCAGCGTGACTAATTCAAGCTCAAGAGTCATTTTTGATTTCGTGCACCCATTGGCGTCGCGCAACCCTATACATCACGCGCTGGCAAGCTAGAAACAAAAAAGTTAAGACTGAGCGTTCACATTCGAAATTTCGCCGACGATTTTGTAGCAGCTCGATCATCGTTTATCAATTATCGACGTGAGAGCTCGATATTCTGTCAGACGGTGAATGCGTGTGCGAGTGGCGCGAGCGACTCGAAAAAGGTGAAAAAGCACGTCCTCTGGCACCGAAACACGCATTTTCGGGTCGAAACTTGCGCACATTTCACTGGTGTTTCTCCACTCCTGTCGATTCGTCCTTCATTCTTGTTATCGTTTTCGCTTGTATCGACGCTCGGAGAGAGAGAGAGAGAGAGAGAGAGAGAGAGAGAGAGAGAGAGAGAGAGAGAGAGAAAGCGTGAGACAGTATACGTGCTGTCCAAAAATTTCACTTCTATAAAATATGAGCCACATACGCGCACACAGCTTGGGCCGAAAGAGTGAAAGAGAGCAAGCGAGCCACAACGGGGCTTCGAGTTTTATTTTGCGAATAATTGTTTCGCAATGTTTTGCTGGTTGTTTGTTCGCTTTACTCGGACAAATTTGACTAGAGATGTATGAAGGTTTTAGCGACCACTTATTTTCCTTAGTTTTTTAGCATCGATTCGATTTTTCCGCAATGGAATTCTCATTAAGTCAATAGTTATTAATAGTTATTAATTAAGATAATATCATCGTATTTACACATGTTACAACTTAATATTTACATTATTAATTTGGCAGAGTGAATTTGATGACGGATACATAACATTTACAGAGAGAGTAAATCCAGTCATACCATATTCACACTCGACGTAACATTAATATTACAAGGTATCGAGGATATCGTCAAAATAATCGATTCAGTAACGCTCTCTGTCGGGTGCGGCTATGGTATGCTCATAAATTTCCACACAGAGTTGAAATTTAAACTTTTAGCGACTAAGCAAAATGGCATAGTGCTCCCCGAAGAAAATAGTTTTAATTTAACGAAAAGTTTTTTTCAGCGGCGATTAAAACTGACGACCCGGCGTAAATTTCCATAAAAGCCGCGCGAAAGTGGGAGAGAGGACCGGGCAAAGTTTTTCGCTCTTGCGCTGCACCGAGAGAATACGGGATTAGCAAAGTCCCTGATTTATTAGATAATTTCGCCGTTGGGCGCAGAGAGCGCTGGGGCTAAAAGGGGCCTTCAAAGTATAAAAACCTTCGTAGGTTCTGCACGGCGCCGCCATCGTCGTGGAATTAGCCGGGGTCCTCGCAGGCGTTTCGGTATCCTTGACAAAAATGACGTCCTAAAAAGGCAAGTTTATCCCGCACAATTTTGTCCGTTGCTGCTGCTGCTTTTGCTGTTACGTGCATGGCTAGAGGCAATTTTTTAAAATTAACACCGTTAAACCTAATCTCGCAGGAGACGCGTACGGACGCAACGTAAAAACGTACAGCTTTTTTACCTTGCCCGGGTCTTAATGTTCATGGCGGCAGTCGAGAGAGCCGACATATTCTCCGGCTGTTTCTTCTGTTTCTACGATTCGCACGGCCGTATATGTGCAAACAGCCACGCGAAAATCACGGCGCGGCAGACGTCGGGCTCGGAGCAGTAGCAGTATCTAATGCTATGCTGTAGATATGAGATGGCCCGTGAATATTCGGGACGTGGATATGGGGGGGGGGGGGGGGGCGGATGAGAGAGAAAGAGAGAGACAGTGCTGAGTATTCTGTATTCTGATTTTTCGACGCTGATTATTGCGAGTGGGCTCTGCTAACTTTTGCACGTCGAGGCTTTGCTTTTTAAAATAAAAAAAAGTACAGCGAAAAAATTTTATTCAAGTATCCAGTGGATTAGCATTATCATTTCAATGCTAATCCTACTATAGGTTTAAAACTTATAGGCACTTGACTTACTAAGCGTGTGTCTTTACCGAAAAGTCGCATAAAAATAGGACTTTTATAGTAATGAAGCTGAAGATCCTGCGCAGTGATTGATTCATCATCGGTTAATCTAACTTAATTAGCAAAGTTGTGGTGACAATCAAAAAGTAAAAATATTTATTTTGGAGTTATGAGACATGAGCAACTTTATACTGCTGTTTTTCGTCAGAAAAGCATGAAACGCAGACAAAATGCAGCTTATAGTTCAAAGTTTTCCTGAAGAAACTTTGATGGGATTAAACAAATTGATTCATTTAAGAAATAAAAGCTCATTCATTTATTTGTAAACGTGAATTTCCGAAATAATGTTGTCATTAATGGCTGGGCCAATTCATTTCTGATTCAATACAAAATATTGAAAAATGTTTGAGGTTTATCATTTAGGAATTTATCATACTTTTTTGAACATATTACTTAAATTTTTAAATACCACCATCTCAAATTTCAAAATAGCTTTTGTAGCGCATTGTTTTTTAAAACCACAATTTTGTATACTACGATTATATAAAATATACGCTTAGAAAGTCAACGACTAGAATAAACCAATAGTAATTTAAGTTTTATCTCGGCTGACTAAAGCTTGACTTACGTTCCTTAACCTTTAGAAGGCCGGGATTTCAAGGGGCATATGACCCTCAGAAAACTGGTATAAAAGGTATCTTATATCATTGGTTGATCATAGGAAAAGTGTCAATCGGGGGTAGCGTCAATATATTGATTCTCCGGCCCTCTAAAGGTTAAATACCTTTTTATTATTTGAAACGACTGCTGTCTTTTTCAATTCTATTTATGGTATTGAAATTTTTGAATAAACTGTTAACATCCATTATTATTTTATTTAACTTACAACAATAATCGCCTTTACAGCAGGTCTTAATAATTCTATGTGCTTGTTATTGAATTGAAAATTAAAACGATTATTGATCAAATTAATTAAGTATACTTTCATATTTTAAGGAAGACATTCATAATACACTTCCATTTCAAGTTCAACTAAACTTGCTACTTCATGATACCGCAGATAATAGGTACATCTCCAAAATATATCGAGTTAATTAAAAAAAACCGACGAAGTAAACAAGCGCAAAAAAAAAAGAAGAAAGAATGTAACATAGCGTAGCTGCTAAAGCGCCGATGAAAAGTGCTTGAAGCACTCAGCGGCCAAATTATAATAACCATTAACTAAAAAATATACTCGTCGGGGTTTGGGCGCGTTGCTAGGAAGAAGTGCGCTCTCGCGCAAAATAGTCTCAAGCATTAACATAGCAATTTATACGCCGCCCGTGCTCTGTATTCCCTATTCAAGAATTAGAATAATTCTCCGCCTCTCGGATGCGCAGCTGCGTTTTCTGAGTTTTTAGGAGGAAAAGCACTGGAGGCGAAAGGCCATTGCTTCGGCTTGGGCGATAAACGCGCGAATTATGCTTAATACCAACGTTACCGCCGCCGTCGCTGGAATATCATCGTCGCGCAATTTCCTCCGCGCAGGCTCGTTTTTTCGCGTTGCGCTCGTTTATATGCGCTCTCTCTCTCTCTCTCTCCTTTCCTATCTTTATCTCCCTCTCCCGAACGAGCTGAACTTTTACGACGCGACTGTCGCGCGCTCTCTCTCTCTCTCTCTCCCTCCAGTGTGCGCGTCGGCTGTTGCTTTTTTCGTCGATTTCTCCTCCCCCTCGTCTGCCGCTCTTGCATTCGCTTGCAGCGCTGCAGCGACGTTGCCCGGCCGAGAAGAGCTTTTTTTGCTCGCTGCCGCCACCGCGCCGCTCTACGAGCTCGAGGCTCGACTCTCGTTTTTTCACAGCGCCGCTTATATTATGCAGGTAATTTTTGAATTATTTGCAGTTCGCGTGGAAATTGCCGGCGCACTGGGGACTCGGGCTTGAGGGCGAACTACAGAAATGAAGAAATTGTTGGATGTGGGCTTTGCGCGTCTGTCCGTAAATAGTCGACAGGGAGAAAAAGACTGCGAGTATGTATGTATACGTTGGTTATTAATTATGCGCCGTTCTAAGTGTAATTATTGTACGTTGTGTTAAGCATTGAGCACGGTTAGCTGATTTTGACATTAGCAATATTGATGCATATATGGCTATACTTGATTTGTAGAGTTTAAAATTACATTGATGGCGAAGCTTATTTGTACGTTTGCTCGCCTGCTCGTGGCAGTGGTTAATATAATGCTCTGTTAATACAATCGAAGATTAGTCAATGATAAATAAACGTTCGACTGGCCATATTACATGGTCATTTGGCAAAATCCATTTCTACAAGCGAAAGATTGCTAAACGATTTCATCATCATAATTAGTCGCGGTCCACTGCTCCGTGTAATCAGTTATTTTTTACGAATATATTACGTGCGAGAGAACAATTCTCCATATCTACCAACGGTATGAAATATTATTTGTGAAATTTATCGAAGTCTAGCAATAATTCATATATTAAATTATGCTAGATGAATTCGGCTGTGATGAAACTGTGTCGTTACTATGGTTGATGATGTGAATCAGTAGAAAATGTCGATTTTTGATCAGACGGTCGACTTTCTTTAATCCATCTCTTATCGCTCTACGTAGCCAATTATTTTTATAAAGTAAATGGAGCTTAATATCGTTAAAGAAGGGCCGGAGTTTAATAATTTTTTGTAATATTTTGAAAGACATTAAGATCTTACAACCGGGAAGTTGATTAAGCTTCAAAGAAAGGCAGAAACTTATAACTAAAAAGATTACTGCAGACCCTCGTTACCGTAAAACCGTGCTACAGTAAATTAAGCTTTGTCATTCAAGAAACATACTCAAGCTAACGTCTTTCAAAAGCATTAATCACATTTCAAAGAACGAAAAAGAAAAAAACGAGCGCCATATGGGTCAAAGAACGAATAAAAAAACCACTTTTCCCCTGAATCACAAGCAAAAAGATAGGCTATTTTCATCTTATCAATGACTTGTCTATCTGCCTCATTTTTTTGCAGTGTACCTGAATCTTGGTCTGCAAAGTGTGTAGCTTGCATCTCACTTGCGCAACAGTATTCGACAGCAGCGGCTGCACGCTCAAAATGGCGCCACGCGGTGAGCGAACGCGAGATAGAAAAACGCCTTGCTGTTGCTGCTCGGAAACTTGTTCTTTCAGTTTCTCTCCTACATGAAAGCGTGACGTCACCGTGATTAATATAAACTCCTCGCCGTCGCCGTCGTCATCGTGTACGGAAATGACGTCATGTCTTTGTCTTTTTTTATCGCTGACACAGACACGTGCCAAGAGCTTTTTTTAAAATACCGGTGCTCGCAACTTAGAGGCCTATGTAGAGGTCGTAGCGGCTAGAAATAGAAGTGGCGCGACAGAAAGGTGAGTCACATAATGGATATGAACGAGCGTGTACGAGTGAACGAACGACCATATGATTGTCAACCCGCAACTTTTTTCACTCTCTCTCTCTCTCTCTTTCTCTCCTCGATTTGCCCTGGACGTGACACACGCGGATGTTTATATGTGTATGTACACGCAACAGGGCATGAATCGCTCGCTCGACGTGTATACAGCGCGCTGCGAGTATCGACTGGTTTTTGTCAATTACTAGAACGAGAACGACCGACCAGTGATTGTGTTTAATTTTTCACTAAAGAGATGTACTCTTTCACGCGTATTTGCAGCTATTACGGCTTTCATTCATCCGCAAATCGATGAATTTTTTCTTTTTGCGCTACATACGCGCTTTTCGACAATTTTCATTGTAGGCTGACTTAAAATGCTTCGAACTACTTAAATATCTATTTTTATTCACATTTCTCTTTTATATTATTAAATTCTTTTCTCAGTCTGTATGTAACAATAAATTTTAATATTTTGTCAACACGGTGAAAAAGCTTCTTTTACATTTGCAATTTCTTCTATAGCGGTCGACTATTGGTCTCTACGTCTCTTCAATTTGATATTCAGTATATTATTCAGAGTCAAATTTATCAATCTTGCAGAACTTACGGTTTACCAATATTCTGTTTATATAATTCGGATTGTAAATTAGTCAGCAACATAATAGCTTATTATTATTCTTAATGTTATTAGTATAATATAGTGAGCAATTATATAATAATTGATGTTAATAACTGAATTTTGTAATTGGCATTTCGAATTCAATATCCGCGCCTAATGTTAGGAATATTGTTCCTAATGATAAACTATTCTTAAACGTCAATCTCGCTATCAAAATGTTTTTTTACGCAAACTATATAATAAATTATTTTTTATTCTTGAAAAGAAAAGAAATTTTTTTTCGTCCTTTTTTCAAATTTTTATCCAAAAAAAAGAGTAAGTCATTAAAATAGTTCTCCATTTTCCAGCCGATTCACTGACGCAAAGGAGAACACGGTACATCCCGAGATGGAGCGCCACGCAACGGCATTTTTCGCGTCGCTATAGTCTTTTTGCTACTGGTCGGTATGGCAGATTTCTCATCGTCGATAGGGCGACCCCCCGGTCCGTGGCAAAATACGAAACAGTAGTATTCCCCTAGAAACGTTCGGCGAGTGCGCGCACGGGCTACGTGGAACCCTTGCGCGGCCATCTTGGAAAAAGCCGGTTTGGCTGCGCAGGCTCTAGCCTAGGAAAAACAAAATGAAGGCGCTTGCGCAGCTTGGCCGAGTATTGAGCGGAGGCCCACCTCGCCTTTTTGCAACTGGCTCTCTCCCCACCAACTACCAACCCCTTCGTTTCCTTGGCCGCCGCCGCCGCCGCCGCCAACGCCGCTGTTGCTACAGCTTGCATTTTAACGCGATTTTAAATGCGCCGATAAAATAAACGCGATGAGTATCGCCAAGCCGCCCCCCCCCCCCCCCACACACATCTATCTATGATTGCCGATCGCCTGATGCGCCCCGTTAGAGATTTTTTACTTCCGAGAAAGAGCTTCCTCCACTTTTTTTCTGTGGCGTCGACGTCGTCGCGACTCTTTTGTCATGTACTGTATTTTTCTTTATGAAAGTGCAGTGATTATCGCTGCATTCAAAGTGATGCTGTGGGGCTTTCAGATGATCGTCTCGTTTTATTAGCCTCACTATATTGACATTCGATTTTATTTTATTGCTAAAAAATTATTTTTTTACAATCACTAAAACCGTATTATATAATAAATACATAGAACCACATATTCTTCACTAATTATTCTTTTTAATTGGTCGAGCATTTTACTAAATATTTAATGACAGTACTGTTAATATTACATCTTGATGAAATATGATTAAATAATTCCGTTGCTTGCCGTTCGAATTCAAAAATATTTAATTTATCATAGATAGCAACCTAATACCCCTATAAATTTGTAGTTCAAAAGATGTTACATGAATATAATTGATTATCACATATTGACTGTAGTCAATGATTTAATGAGGTAGACTATAAACAGATTATCTAACAATTATTAATAAATATACTAATAACTAGTGCTTTATACGTATTGGGGTTTGTAGTTTCGAACTTCATGTATCAAAATGATAGTGGCACATCTAATTCAATAATAATAATAAATCTGACAATAAAACGTGTGTGTTAACCATATAATGATAATTCACGTGAAAACAAACCTCTGCAGACGTAAACTGCTAATAAAATAAGTGTCAAAACAAAGAAGGAAAAAATTGTATTTAAAAGTGCTGAGATAATTCACAGTCTTGCTAATGCACGCGCGATATTCTTAAACGCTTCGATTTAATTTACTTGAAAATCGTCATGTATGTAATAAATTTCTTGGCTTGCAGAAAACGAGAAGCTGCAGTTGGCATGAATTATGAACAACACAGTCGAGATCTTTTGTTTTTATCGTCCAGCGTCTGACGCCAGTGCCGTTGCTACTGCTGCTGCTGTTGGAATACACGCAGAAATGCAAATCGCTCACCGGAGGGTGAGCATGTCGCCAACTTGAGGGGGATAAAAAGAAGATTAGCCAGGCCGAGTAAGAAACCGGACACCGCATCATCCGCGCACGAGAGCCAGCCAAGAAAAAGAACGGCTCGTTTGACCAGATAATACACTTTGTAAAGCTGCGTCCAGTTATTTGGAAATGCTCATTAGATTAATCATGTCTTTTTTCTTTAACGGTTTTTCACAGTCTTTCTCTAGCCAAATCATAAATTTGCGTCTTTCAATCCATTTTTCGTAAATAGTCGTTGATGATGATTGTGCTTAGATATAAACTATTTCTATTTTTAAAGTATTTGAAAGTAACGACTAAACAGTTCTATTTACATAGGAAAAAGTAAATAAAGTTTAAATAAAAGCGTAATACTTGAAAGGCCTAATCAAGACAAACGTAACTGAACGAATATAAAATATAAACAGAAAAGACCAAACGTATAACTGTATTGATAGCTTCCATAATTCAAAAATAATTCTACCTCAATAATAGTCTTTCTTCCCCTCATTAATAATTCAAGTAAGTAAAACGATAGGAAAAAGCGCGCGATAAATTAGTAAAAGCTTCTTATTTGCTATCGCTTCTAAAATTCACATTGCCCGCTGCAAGTGGAAGGTGGGATCGTCGCATTTATTAAGTTTCTCTGGAAAGTGTACGTGTATCCCTTCTGTCGGCTGAGGGGATATGAAGCGACGATAGGTGAGTGTTATATACCCCACCAAGCATTTTTAACCCCCACCATGGCGCGTCCAACGGGCGAGTGCTCACTCCTAGAAAATAGTGGAGGGGCATGTCGCCCGATTAGATAAGTAGGGGAGGTTTAGATGAAACTTTAGATAATTTCAGCTATCTTGGCCTTCTCTCTCTCTCTCTCTCTCTCTCTCTCTCTCTTTCTCTCACTCTCTCGACGCAACAGCTCCCCTGCGACGCCGCCCGTAACCTTTTCATATGCATGGCGAACATCGAAAACTAGTATTTCTGGTATATTTGCATCGCTTTATTTTTGGCTTTAGCTTGGATTCTTTTTTTCTTTTCTGATTTAGTATCCATTGCAAAGTAAGCGTCTAATATTTATTGAATCGAATATAAAATTAATGTGTAATGAGAGAAATTTTTATGATACTTGTTTTAAAAAATTATTGTCAAGTGTTTTAAAAATTAGTATAATTATTTTTTATTTTGGAAAGCTACTTTGGTACAGGAACAGTTATCAGAACGATAAAATCTTGCTAATTGAGTTAAAAAACGTTAAATATTCATTCGACCGATCACCGTTGAAGTATGCATTACCGCGATGTTATGATTACATGTTAAACACCCTGGAAAATGACACTGGCGCAGCTTACTCATTTGATTCCAATTGTCCGATCAATATACAGTGGCTGTATGTACTCTTAATCACTGAAAATTCATATTCTTCCGCAAAAATATTAATATATAATATTAATATATAATATTAATAGCTGCAAATATTTACCGCATCCTCTTTATACAATTTATGAACTCACCCGCAGTGTGCGCGTGCACAAAAATTTGAATAAACACATGTCTAATTAAAAATACAGAAGAAGTTTTAATGCTATTCAATTAATGTATTTTGAAACATACATATGCTGGAAAAAGACATCAAATCAAAAGTGAAAGACTTCCGTGCAAACGTGTGTGCGTAGGGCTAAGCCGGTTCTCTCGCTCTCCTGTGATCCACGTAAAACCCAAACAAGTCAGCTCATTAAATATGTCGTGCGCTCTCGACTAATAGTCAAAACAACAAAAGCCTCGACGATAAGAGAGAGAGAGAGAGAGAGAGAGGGCGAGAGGGAGAAAACGATGAAAAATAAACACAACAAAAAAGTTACCAGTGATTTGAATCTCTCACTCACACTGTTAGTGCTGCAACAGAGAGAGAGGGATTTTCGCCAAAAGTCGTCTTTTTACCAGTGATGGTGTGGCGACGGCGCGCATGCAATGCGACGCCGCGGCGCTGCTACGGCGTTGCATTACGCATTATTTAATGGACGGTTCTCGCTTTGTGTTCGGCTGACTCATTAACCGGCCGCCGAGTCGCCCGATTGTACGCATACGTGGCTGGCTGCTGCTACTACTGCACTGCGTCGCTGCATAATGAACAGGACAGCCACTGGCTGCTGCTTCTAGCTCTCTTTTCCTGTACAGAGGAGCCCCCTATACTTTTTTAACCATCCACCTACCTCTTTTCCATACACACACTCGCTCGCACATGGCACACAGTCGACCTATTATTTCGACGTATTACGTTTCGTCACGTTGCATTACGCGACCGAGTTAAAAATCGCAGCCGCGACGGCTCTTCATTTCGGCAGATGAAAAAGAGTGTGCGCGTACAGGTTTGCGAGCTACGCGGCTTTTTCGTGTTCGGCACGCAACGGACATGCCGATTACATGTCGCCGTTGCTGGTGCACGTAAACTCCTTTTACACTCTACCGACGACTATTCTTTGCTCGGGATCTCGCTCGGCAACATTTTTACACAATTATCAAGGAACGTTGGCTATTTTTTTCGGATTTGAATAATTTTTACTTGACAAAGACTTTTATGGCTTGAAATTATTGCAATTGACACTATACTTGAGGAAAAAAGAAATTATATGTATATTAATATCCTAGTAATCACATCGAAAGTTGATGGTGAGTTATCCTGCTAAAAAGAATTTTAAAAGATACATTGGTAAAAACCTCTGTAAAAGATTAGTGTCAACCGTAAGCAGTCGAAGAAAATTTAAATTTATATCCTAAAAACTAATAGAAAAGAAAAATATTTTGAAGCCCTCCAAGTCTACACGTTTATCTCGTGCAGCTTGGATATCGCGTATTTTTGCGTAAAAGTTGCACACATACTCTCTCCACGCGGGCATTCATCTCCCTCACGGTTGCGCGATCAACAATCAGGCAGCAATCGTCAATCAAGATACTTCTCTCTCTCTCTTTCCCTTTTCTGGTTGCGTGCTGCATTTCGAAAACTGCGTGTTTAAAAAGAAGCAAGAGAGATGCATTACACTCTATCTCTCTCACGCGCGCGCGCGCGCAAGAGAGAGAGAGAGAGAGAAAGAGAGAGAGAGAGAGTGAGAGAGAGAGGTGGATCCGGGGAAGCGAAAAGCATGGTAAAATGGAATGCGCGCAACCGCTGCGTGCGGTGTGGGCAGCGTTGAACACGAACAAACGCACGCATAGCAGCCACTGCTGCCCTCTTTCGCTTGAAATTAGAGGATGCTGTCTAAAGTTCTCTCTCTCTCTCTCTCTCTCCCTCTCGTTCTCTGTACACGGTTTGGATTTACCTATGCACTATTTCCCGCTGTCATTCGCGCGCGCGGAAGCAGTACAGTCTTTGCTAGAAAGCAGCAGCAAGCCTCGGCTTTCATTTTGCTGCCTCGCACGAGTGTTACGCAATGACGCGTAGGCACGTCTGCGGTACGAACGCGTAATGAGTTTTGCTCCGTTCGCGCACCAAGCGCAATGCGCGGACACTCTAAAAAGCGACAGGGAGAGCAAGCTGTCTAGTTTGGGATAGGCTTCGTGCTGATTCGCTGCAAAATACACATCGTTGTTGAGCTATAATTAGCCTCTATTCACATCTCGCGTTACTAGTACATCGTTGCGGATCACTTTCATACAATGCAGTATAGTATCCAATATTATTCTGCAACAACTCGTCAGGTTAATTAGCCATAGTTGCCGGCTCGTACACGTTGAGGATATAGACGGAATCGAAGCTTCAACAGCGTAGTAACCCTATGTAACCTCTACGCCACAAGAAAAAAAGAGCTTGCGAACAGGTCGAAATACTCAATAAAGCGATTGCAGCACGCGCGTCATCCTCCCCCTTCCGCTCTTATTCCTCGTAGCGTCTGGAATTATAATCGAGAGTATTTTTCGATGTGACTGTACGAAGCAGCGGAGGCGTATACGAATTCGCGCATGTGTGCATACAGCAGCAGCCTCGTCGGAGGCATTAGACGCACTGTATCGGCGTTGCGCTCACCCACACACATACACACGCGTGCATATACTCGTTCACCACGCCCAAAGAGAGAAAGCCGTATTAGATAGGATGCCCGCAGCTCATTTGCCAACTCTGGCAAATTTAGCAAATTTAAATGCAAAATCGGCCGTCGTCCAGCGACCGCGTCGACGCAGACAGACGAAGAGAGAGAGAGAGAGAGAGAGAGAGAGAGAGAGAGAGAGAGAGAGAGAGAGCGTGCGAAATGAGGGAAGAGGAAGAGGGGAAAACGAGCGAAAATGCGAGAGAGCAGTAGTCGTAGTAAAGCAAGCGAGGGAAACTCTAGCTCGCAAGCACACACAACTGCTACATAGTTGCTTGTTAAGCCGAGGCTGCTGCCGCCGCGCGATTGGTTGCCCGCGAGAGTCTTCTTGCTAGCTGCTCTGCTGTCTCGAACTTTCCTAACCATCGATCCGGCCCGCTGCACCCAGAACACCCCGAGACCGAGAGCTATAATAACGAAAATTTCACCGCCGCCGCCGCCGGTAATTTCGCCCTGGTAACTTTGTGCCCACGCCGGACGCTATATTCGACGCGCGCGGGAGAGAGAGAGAGAGAGTTCTCTTTTTATCCTCCTTCAAACCACCACCCACAGTTGGCCAACTGTTCGCAATTGGTCGAAAGTTTAAGAGGGTCTATAACGAAGCTTGTGGACTGGAGCTTATAGTTGCATATATTTTAAATAGCAAGATTTTCAGGAACTAAGTTTACTGGAAGAAAGAAAACACACCGAGGGTTTGTGTTTTTTTATCGGTTCGATAAATAATTGTATGACAACCTATAGAAAAAACAGAACAAAAGAAAACACACGGAGAATCAATTTCTGGCTTTGCAAGAAAGTCAATAAACGTACACCTAGAAATCGAGATGACTAGTGGAAAGCAGAGAGAAAGATGTAAATACGTTTTTTATTGCGTGCGAATAAAGATGGATACCGACCATGTGCACAAAGTCATTTGCTGTTATTATCAAAAATAAACATCTGTCATGATTAAAAAAGCGCGCACCTGTATAATTCCGAACGACTCAGTTTTCGCGAAGGTCAGATTGAAAGATGAAAAAGAATGTAGTTATGAAATGAACGTATAGAAAACGGCAGAGAAGAAAAATTTTTGTTTTCACGTAGACGACTACAGTGTATCGAGCGTCATCACTTCCGATCATTATTCGACGGGCAGGGTTTTGTTAGCTCGCAGTCCTTTATTATTCATCGTTCATCATGCGTTACACGCACCGCTGCTGCTGTGCTTGTATGTATATAGACGGATAGGCGGGTGGGCGAGAGAGAGGATATTTCGGTGCACTCGCCTCTTACGATCCGAGAGGGAGAGATAGAGAGCGCGTTTGTTTTAAACGACTATGCCCGAACAATGCGGACTTGTTTCGTGGCTGGAGCCGCTGCTGTGTGCTCCGCGCGCCAGCCCTGCCGCGTATATGGGCTAACGCCGGCTTTCTCTCTCTCGCTCGCTCTCTGTATGTACGTGTGCGTGTTGTGTGTTATCGTGCAACTCGCGATAATGGGATAGAGCGCAAGCCAGCGCTTCGAAGAATTTTATGTTCCTTTTTTTTCGTTGTCCTCGTGTTATGCCAAGCGTTGTTACACCGACAAATTTTTCCTATGCGTTTTGCATCCAGAACGTGCCCTTATATTACGTTACATTTGAGTGGCAGTATGAGTTTTCCGTCACTCGACGCAGAGCTGAATACTTGGCGAATTCGAGACTAACTTACGAAATACAGTACTTTGGAAGGAAAAAAAATGAGTTTTATTGCCAAATTCGTTTGTATTTCATTCAACATTAACTTAAAAATAACAAAAATGTTTGAATGGCTCACATTGATTATCAACTTGTGTGTATATTGCGAGACATAACAAATAATTAAAAACCCAATCCGACAGT